CTGGAATTTTTATCACGTATGATTCGGAGAAACCATTAATCAACAGGGAATCTTAGGATTTGTGTGTGTGTGTATGTATAATCCAAATTTTTATATAAAAATAAAATTATTCATTTAATTATTAATTATTTCTTACACATATACTAAACAGAAAAATTTGTACATGAAAATAAATGAGATGTAAAATTAAATGAAATGTTCCAAAAGCTAGATAAGAAAAAATTGTGATTTACAAAAATATCTCTTGTTTTTTATTCGAGACGCTATTTTTGCATCGGAATTATAACGGAATTCCGTTGCATCTCGCGAATCGCTGGAGCAAGACGAAATCGCCAGGTCGCCTACGTCACTGAACGTGCCCCACGTGAGCATTATATCGGATCGTACTACTTTTTAACAGCCTTGAATAAAGGTTTTATAAAGCCTAATTGACGGTTTCCTCGTTCGACATTCATTTCATATGTGTGTGTGCGCGTGTATGGCCTCAATGATTTTTTTATCGCTACAGTTTTTACAAGGTGTCACGCGCTTGCAATCGGAATCCATGTTTGTATATCGGGCCCATATTTAATAATCGATATCTGACTCAACATTAACTTCCGCAGAGCTATTTGAGTTTGATTCGATTTTAAATTATATTATATATGTATTTAAAGTTTTTCAGAGATATATCCTGAATTTTCTAAATTATTAATTCTGAATTATATATACTATTTTTCAACAAATTTTATAAATTGTAACTTAAAAAAAAAATGAAATATGAAATATAAATAAATAATATAAATATAATAAATAATAAAAGAGGGATAAAAATTCTATTTTAAGTAATATTCTTTTTATTTAATACTTTCGAACGGAATGCAAATGCCAAAGTCTAGACCCAGATATATTGAAGCAACATTCTTTAAAAAATGTCTAAATCAGCAATACAATTTCTTCGAATTACATGATTTCATGATTTTGTGAACGTGAGTCTAATCGATATCGTATTGTGTGTGTGTGCTGTGTAATATATGCGGAATAATATAATATATTCCAATTTTATAAATTTTGTTAATCCCAAATTTTGTACAATTTTTTTTTTCTTTTACGAAAACGTACGATATACAATATAGTTCAAAATAAATATAATACAAAGGCTAGCGATTTCTCCAGATAAATCTGATGTTAACTAAGAATAACAATATCAGAGACAATGCTCTTCCTTGCGTTTGCTATAAAGCCTCATTTCAACAAAACACTTTTATCTCCATATTGACACGTGTCCTTCTCGTACGCAATCCAAACCGCGATTACATGCCTTGAATATCGAAAAACCAGTCGATTCAAGATTCGTGTGACTCATGCCCTTTTCAAACTAAATCATCCAGTGCTTCGTCAGTTCCTCTTAAAAGTCGCTCTTTAACTTTTCCAAGGCGTCCATCGATCGTCATTGTGAATGTGACCCGGTAAACTATTATATTACCTCACCTGCTCGTTATCAATGAATGAACGCCTCGATAATGTCCTCGCGCGTATCTGTAATTGGAATCCGCGAAAAAGAAAGGGAGATACGAATCGCAATTGTGCATCTCGGAAATGGGAATTCGCTGAATGTGCCCAATCTACAAAATGTGGAAGAACTGATAAAGCCCTGTCGCGCGCAGTCAAATATATGTCAAGAATGCTTCTCAATCTTCTTTTTTTTTATGATATTTGCTAAACGTAAGTAATTCTCGCACAAATATGTCACAAAATATTATACTTCGATTACATTTTATACTGTTGATTATGCAACTCGAAATTTTTACGATTGCAGAGGCTCAAAAAATTCTGGCAATGAAACAGACAAAGAAAAATCTTATTCGACTCAAACAATTTTGAAATTTGATTTTATCATTAATTAAGAAAAATAGTTTAAAACTTCATGGTCATACACAAAATTCTTTATATTAAAGATTAAAAACTTATAATTAAAATTAAATTGAATGAATAACTGTAATTAAAAGAGAGCTTGCAATAAATGATTGTCACTTATGAATTTTTTATTAAAAAAAGATCGACTTTAAACTTATCGTAAAACCTGTTTAAAAAAATATATCTGGGTACATATGAAATTTTTGGATATTTATGAAGATATCGCGTCTTTTCGACGTTTCTTATTCGGGCGAAGAGAAAGATCTCGAGTTAAGCAAGCGCTTCGATCACTAGCGTACAGTGGCCGAGCAAAGTGTGTGATGCATTGCTCAGTTATGTACACTTTCATCGATGATGATGTCATTCGTTTCTCATGTGTGTGAGGAGAGACTGCGTCTCGCATACCGCAAGGTCGCGGGACCGGATCAGGATCGACCCTTCGTTTTTTCGCCGCCCCGAGTAACCGATTCTTTTCTTCCTCTCTTTAATTGTAAGTATAAAAATTGTCCAAATTTTAAAATATATTACCACTCATAAGTATTTGCTTTTATTTTATAAAATTTAGAGCTTTCTTTACACAAAATGGATCGCCAGAACTGTAAGCGTAAAAAAGATGATTTTTCACGCGGAAACAAATCGGAAATGTACAATAGAATAAGATTATTTCATACAAGGTTGCATCTTCAAAAAAAAAAAGATTGTGAAATTGATAAAATTAATAATATATTTATATTTTTTTAAGCAATTATATATAGAAAATACATCCAAATAATATTCTTTTCTTTTTTTTAAATGGGATAATATAATGTATAGTAGCGATTGTCAAAATTATGTTAGAGAAAAAAGTGCGTTCTAGAATTAAAAATCTCGGATGAAGTACTTATATGAATGGAGAATACCTTATTACGTCGCTCTATTATTTTAATGTCACGATTATTCCGACTGACCGGATCCGTGATATTTCGAGACATAGTTCTCACAAAAAAAAGTTAACCGCTATGAAAATGTCATGTGAAAGCGCAGTTGCAATCGCACCTATTCGTTTTTTTGTGTATATACATATATACAGATGCACACATACGTAAACTTAAAAGGAGACATGGCACCTATAACATGATAGGTGCGGTAATAACGTGCACTTCCGGCTTTACGGTAAGAAGATAGAATGAAAGGAAGCAACACGTTGCTCTCTCGGGCGCCTCTTTAGCGTCTGATCTATATTTATCGTCAGCATTTACCGATGTATTCTAACAATAAGCGGCTGCGAAATCAAAGCTCGTGACTGATCAACAGCCGTAGAATTTCACGCATTAACGCATTCACGTCAAGATCTTATTAAAATCGATACATAATTCAGTAAGCTTGGATCTCGATAAGTTATAGAGCAACGATTCACGGTTTTATCTTTAAAAATCTAAAAGCCTTGTAAAAACCTTGATAGCGGTTAGACTCTCTATTGGTTTCAAGTTGATAAGAAAATCTCTTCATAATTTAAATTAGACGTCAAACAAAATGATATAAATAAAATAAATAATTAATATTAAATTAATTTATTACTTAATATTAATATATTACGATATATATGTGTATTGTAAGTGTGTATTGCAAATAGAAGTTTCTAATTTTAATTTTTCGTCGCATCATCGGAGATAATGCGAAAATGCTATATTACAAATGACGCACAATGTGTGCATGTATTATTCGCGCGTATAAAGCGTTTGCGATTAAAAGCACGATCTTTGCACTCACGTGGAAGAATGGCGCGTGAACGGACGTCGAAAACGGGGATCCGGGCGGCGGAACGAACTAACGGGCAACCGGTAACGAAACAACGGGAAACGAGTCTTGTCTTGCGGCACCGCGCCGCGTGTTCCCCGACTTCCCGTCTCATAGTGCGCGTCCACCTCAGAGTAAATCTCTCGAGAGTAGCTCTCGAGGGTGATTCTTGCAAATGGACATACTTTTGAGAGTATCTAATTCAAGGGTATGCCCATTTGCGATAATCACTCTCGAGAGCTACTCTCGAGAGTTTTACTCGCAGGTGAACACGCACCATTATAAGCGCCGCCAATTTTTCGTCGACCTATTTCGAGATGTCGATTTACAGCAATTCTCGTGTGGTTTCACGCGTCGAATTTCGCTTCAGCCTGCAGTCTATTGCATGTTTTCAGCATTTTAAAACGGAATAAGCTATGACAGAAGGGGAAGGAAATGAGAGAGGGAGCAGGGAGAGAAAAAGAGGAGAAGAGATTAAAAGGCAAAACGCAGGAAATGCAACCACATGCTGAAATACGATAATTAATAATGTAGCAAATGAAACGGCAAATATAAAAATTTTACACATATATAATAAATGATAATAAATAATGAACGAGCATTTAAAATTGAGTCGCTTAAAATTCTCATTCATTTTGGAGTTATCATAGTGTGCGTGATACTGTTTACGTCTAATGTAACCCAGGTGAATAACAAGTAAAAGCATACGCGACATCCACATATACAGTCTGCGTATCGTACGCACTCTACAACACAAATCCAACGAAAAACGACTCACTCGGTTTCTCCTTACGAGTTGGCAAGGTCGTGGATAGTGCTGTCTGGCAGATAAGAGAGAGTGACACTCGCATCCGGTGGTGAAGGGTGACTCCTTCTCTTCCTCGCGATCGTTTCCCTCGCTTCTCCAGAGATCGTGAATCGATCTGTTCTTTCAATGTACACTCCTCGCTCTACGCTCATGGAACGAGGCATGTACTGTAATTATGTCTCTAAAAGAAAAAAAAGGAGGAAAACTCACTAATGTACGAAATGTAACCGAAACAAGCTTCGTCCCTATCTATCTAATTCATCTTCGTGTTTCGAAAGAGAAAAGGAAAGTAATAAGTGTAAAAAGTGTAATTGAAAAGAACCACAGACGTCTCTTGATTCACGATCGTCCTGGCGGTTGCGCCATAATTGGTCAGATTTCAGGTCGACCAATCAACTCGCGTTTTGCTGAAAAAACGTCTTGAAGTCTACAGCTTTTCCCAACGAGATATATAGACACTGCATCGTGTAAAGTTTATTATCATTGTTTTATGTAATAATAGTATTCTTTTTATCTCTTCCTCTCTTTTCAGAATAATCTAAAACAGATAGATTTAAAAAAGATAATTGTATACAATATATATTTTGTATATCTACTGTATCAATTATACGGTGTGATCAAGTAATATTGAAAATGTAATAGCAACCAATAAAATCATTACTAAAACAATTAATCTCTCAACATTAAATTTATTTATATACTAATAAAAATTATTTTCTTAATTATTATTTATGTAAATCGCGGCGTAAAAAATTTTCTGTAATAAAGTAAAAAATTCATACCGTATATAACCCGAGAGACCCGAGAGAGTGAAACGTGACATCCCATCGCGAAAACAAACATCTCAATATAAAGGGAAGGTGTGGGGGAGAGGAAGATGAGAGAAGATCATTTATGACATCTAGTATTCGCGCGTAGTCGATGATCCACCGTCGACTACGTGACGTTCGTTCGAAGAAAAGTCTAGCATCGGTGATAAGATGGCGTCGTCGCGCACGTCAGATCTGCTGGGTTGAACGAGTGGGACGCGGGGCGATGGAGGGGGGAGGGGGACAGGAAGAGGAGATAGACGACGGGCAACGGGCACAGGGCACAGGCCACAGGCAGGCAGACGGGCGAGAGGCACGAGAGCCTGTGTCGGCTGTGTCGTCGTCGTGTATGTACATGCCTTCGTATAGAGCGTGCGGTGTCGAGTCCCGGTGTCGTCATGTCCTCGCGTAGCCGCGTCGCCGTAATAATATCGTGGCAGCCTTGCAACGAGGCGGCGCAAGTCGATTCTCGATTCGCGTGATCCGTCTCGCCGCTTCTCGCTCGACAGTTCCGACTCTGCGTAACGTCGTCGATGCCTTTGTTCGCGGCCGGACGGAGGAGGACGGGCGCGGATTGTCGTCGCGACGAGGCGAGGGAGAACGGAAGGACGACGACGACGACGAGGGCGACAAGGGGAATCTCACTTCTTTAGCCTAGCTGGTAGGTGAAGTGCCCAAGTGTGTGTACTCTGTGTGGCGAGAGAAGGTGCGATAATCTGTCTCATTCCACTCTCTATTCTCTTTCTCTCTCTCTCTCTCTCTCTTTCTCTTTCTCTCTTCCCTCCGTCTCTCTGCGTGTGTGTCTCTCTGCCTATCTCGGGTGAAACGGCGCTCCACACCCCGGCGCGGTCCTGGACACGTCCAAGAGGAGGAGGAGGCGACGGCGTAGAAGGAGGCGCGGAGGAGCCGACGACGACGAGATGCGCGAGTTCAAAGTGGTGGTCCTCGGCTCGGGCGGGGTGGGCAAGAGCGCGCTCACCGTACAATTCGTATCCGGCTGCTTCATGGAAAAATACGACCCGACGATCGAGGATTTCTACCGCAAGGAGATCGAGGTGGACAACTCGCCGTGCGTGCTCGAGATCCTCGACACCGCCGGTACCGAGCAGTTCGCGTCGATGCGCGACCTCTACATCAAGAACGGCCAAGGCTTCGTCGTGGTTTACAGCCTGACGAATCACCAGACCTTCCAGGATATCAAGGCGATGAAGGAGCTTATTACGCGTGTCAAGGGCACGGAGCGCGTGCCGGTGCTGCTGGTGGCGAATAAGCTCGATCTGGAGCATCAGCGGGAGGTCGGCACCGAGGAGGGTCACCAACTCGCGCAACTCTGGGGCTGCCCGTTCGTCGAGGCGAGCGCCAAGAATCGCACCAACGTTAACGAGATGTTCGCCGAGATCGTGCGGGAGATGAACTTCAGCCCTGAGAAGGAGAAGAAGACGTACTGCTGCTGCAGCGTCCTCTAATACTTAATCAAAATCCCCAATGGTCCGGATTATTTACCCGCGGACCGAACTAGGTGAAGGAAAATATAATACAGTGTGTACAGTGTGTTACGAGGAAGAGCTTGTCGTTCTCCTCTTCATCGGCGTGCTTCGTTCTTGGTTGTCCTGGAACTTCTCTTCGCGGCTCTTTCGACCCGTTAATGGAGAGGCAGGGATGTGCTAAGGGAAGATAGTGTACAGTGGGGGCTTTCGGGCAGACCTCATCAGCGTGTTGTCCTGGGTGGATCTTTCTTCTGGAAATCTCTTCAACCTGGAAATCTTTCTTCAACCTTGGAAATCTTTTCAACCTGGAAATCTCTACACAATGTGCTACGCATCTACCAAGGCTAACTTATGTCGAACGTTGTATGAATTTTCCAATGGGGGACTAGGGTTCTCTCCTTTTCTAACTCCGAAGACCGTCCGGCGAGCGACGGCCGTTAAACACAGATATTTTATTATACGCGAATATAGTATTATTGTATGTAATATTATTGTAATATATATACATATATATATATATATATAAATAATATAGGTTTAAGAAAAAGAGAGCGAGCGAAAGGTAGCTTTTCCTCGGCAAAAGGACCAATACTCCGCTCGCGCGAGAAAAGAGATGTCGAAAACCGTAAACCAAACTCGATATCGGCTTTCTGCTCAATTTCAGACTAAATCATTGCACATAGGTTTCACAAATTGAGACTGGGTGCTGTGCTAAGAAAAAAAGAGGAAATACTCGCAGACTTTGAAGGAATCACTGTGATGGTCAACCGTTATGGTATGGTGATAGATTCAGCGATAAGGGGCTAAGTTTGAGCAAAAGTTTAATATGATATATCGCATGATTTGCATGCAGTAGTAGTGCGAAGGTTACACAATCCATCTGATTAAAAGATAGGATGAAGGTGGTTCGGTTTTGAGAGTACACTCTTCTCTGTGCAATTGTTCTGTATTAATTTAAGCTAAGGAGGCTGATTAACGAGAGAGCGAGATATCACCTAAACGTTTTTGTACGAGACGTTGTTGGAGACATTAATGTACAGGGTGTGTTTCGTCTAATGTAATCATTCGAAATGTCTTTGTTGTATTATTAAAAATACAAAAAGATGTTTCAAAGAAATGAGTTATTTAACTAGAGAGGCATTCTAATCACAACATTTGCCTTTTCTTTAAATAATTTCTTTTTGAAACATCTCTTCAAATATTTCAAAATATATTTCAGAGATCAAAACGTCCTGTATATCGGTTGTATAGTCCTAACATTGAACTATTTTATTGCACGCAAGAGGGAAGGACATTAAAAGAATGAAGTTTTATATGCGACATTCTGACAATTGAAGGATAACCCAACTGTTGTGAGATTTCTTGTGATCCGTTGTGTAGCAAATACTAATATCTTATTTTGGTTTTGCTTTAATGTCTGTTACAGCGCAATACTGTATTTGTAAACTCTAATGTGCGGGAGAAGCAGAGCAAACTAATGTAGTAGTCTGATTATAAAATCGAATTTTAATAAGTTGAAGGCCGAAAGTTAAAGACTGCCTTTAATTTATTAAAATCTAACAAAATCGCAGACTGTTGTGACACAATGACGGAAATAATTAAGAGAAACGTTTCGTAAGACTAATTAAAGTAATAATGTCAATCTAAACTCGTAATTTGTAAGCTTTGTACGGTAAAAAAAAGTTTGTACTGCATAAACCGCAAGACTGCACATTTGATCTGATTACTATGGGATTGATGACTTTGTAACGAGTGATCTTACACACCAATGACAGAGCACAATAGTTTATTCATAGTAGAGTTAAAAAGAAAATGGCAGGAATTCGCACTGATCCCTTCAACTGCAAATCATAACATGCATGCTACTATTTATCATTGATAATGTGACAACATCAATGTGAAAAGTATCGTAATAACAGAATCTCTATAATGTTCTTTGAGAAATATTATTTGTCTATCTCCTTACATGAAAAATTGTAGAATCTAAATATACTTCAGTAAAAATTGTCTATATAATAATAGAACATTAAAGATATTTACAAAAATATCAAATGATTATGTAATTGAAAATGCAATTACGATACTTTTTATTGCTTTCGGAGAGAGAAAACCCACAGAATCTAACTGTATGAAATATTGTTGAATTTGTGAGGGCAAAAAAAAACAATGCATGTAAAAAGAAATTAGAACACAATGGTTCTTCTTTTCGTAAGTTACTCGTGAAATTGATTGAGTGCTTTAGAAATTTTATAAATTACATTTATTATTTTACTTTTACTTTAAAAATGTAAAATTATTCTACATCGACAGATTGAAACATGAAAAAATTCTAAAGAGAGATATATGACTACAAAATTTATTTTATAAACTTTTATAATCATATTTCTCGTTGTGTATTTATGTATAATTATATTCTTTATATTTTATAATTATACTTTGCACATTGGTTTCTCATATATTCGTACAGAAATCAATTTTATATCTATTCTCTGTGCTGCAATTTCGTCGATAAACAATGATATATATTTTTTGCATCCTTATAGTTTCTAAAACATTCAATCAATTTTGCAAGTAACTATAATAGTGATAAGGTGTGTGTAATATTTCTCGTGTGTGATCACACACACAACTTGTATTATCTGATGTTAAATATCGTTTCTGGCGATAAACACAGCGTAAAAGTCATTATATGCTATTCATTTCCATTGTCATTTAACTCTTGGATGCATAAAAGGATTTTTCTTATTTTTTTATGATATTTTCAAAGCCCTCCGAGACCAAAAATTTTTTTCTTCTAGAATTTAATTTTTAGAGAAGTCTCAAGCCTATTTTCTGACGATATTCAATTTGAATCTGTCGATTATTTAAATACTTTTAAATTTGTGAACCATCTTTTATCAGGCTGTCGTTGTATCCGAGAGTTAAATGCAAAATAGAAAGGTAAACGAGTGTCACTCGAGATCCTTTGACCGATTTTACTCTGAAAGATATTGTTTTGCTTCTGCAACAAGATGTATTTATAATTTGCATAGCCTCTGTATTCTAATTTACAACTTTAACGCATGTATCGTTTGAATCGTATACGCGCAATATTATTTTCCGATACTTTCGAGGGAAATTGCGGAAAAATTAAGAGCTAAAAAAACAATAAAAAAAAAAAAACAAAAGAATGAACTGATGTACAGTATTTCTACGATTGGTAGTTAGATTGATCTTAGATATTTTTGGGAGGAGGTATCGTTCATATACTTTGGGAGAGAGAACACGTGTGAAATTTTAAATATTGTGAAAGAGCACTATCGGGGTGTACAGTCTTCGACCGGCATTTTGTGTACTCTTCTTTTTTTCCGGAGTCTCGTGTGTTAAAAAAAAAAAAGAAATTAACGAGGCCGGCGCCGGAAACTGCGGTCGCGAATTATCTTGTGGTTCGCAGTCCAAAGACGAAGGATAAAAAAAAAAGGAACAGAACATTTCGCTTTAAGCTACTACTTGGTTGGTCATAGTCTCGTGGAAAATTTTTAGTCTCGCTGTGATCACGTAATTCGTAACTCCGCACCTTTTGTATATCGAATAACAATAATCGAAGCCTTTTCCCGGCTTCGATCGAAGGGCCTCTTTGTAAAGCGTTTTAAAATAATCGTCACCTGACTTGTGCGCGACACTTCTTACGTTTTTCGCCCTCTGTTTTACATATAATACGTACATATACATACGAAACACAAAGGACGCACAAGGCCGTCGTCTGCCTAGATAGCTCACCAAGTATTTGATATACTTGAAAAATCTATTTATATATTTGTGTATGAGAAGGAGAGAGAGAGCCGTGCCACGTGTCTCTCGCGCATCCAACTCTCAAGATTGCATACGCTATTTTTCTAAAGCGGCATCTAAAAATTTTTATCGCAAGATATTGATCTATAATAAGAAAGCGAATTCTAATTATAATAAAATAATATTTATTTGGGGAGCTATCGTCGGCGGAGAGGCGACGGCCAGCATATCATACACCTAAGGACCAGAATTGTTTCTCTCTCCTTCAAATTTTATTTCACGATCGGCGAATCAGTTATCTTCCTACGTGTCGAAGAAACATCGTGAAAAGTCGAGACGCAATATACAAAGATGTGTATAATGCAACAATTCGCGTACAGTTGGAGATACGTGCGCATTTGTTATGCAACTGGGTCACGCACATACATATATTAATTAATAATTGGAGTAAAGAGTAAAAAAAAGAAAAACACCACGATTTAGATATGTGTATATCGGCCTTTCAGTACTACTACCTGCGTATCTGATATATTGAGTACGAAATACGTTATATATTTTTTACAATGTGAAGAATCTGTAAATATATATTATATAGCGAGTCGAAGTATACATAATAAAAGCTAATTATCTTGAAACATCTCAGAGGAGACGAAATATTTCGAAATGAATATCTCTTATGGCGAAACAAAAGAAAAATGTGCATAATAGACCAAGTGCAATCTCTTTCTTTCGTGCACTGTGCGCAAAATGATTTATTGTAATTATAAGTAAAGAAATCATCCATGTGGGCAAATGAAAGCTAAAATGTGTGTGCGCTTCAAAATTACTCTTGTAAAGCTGTTTAGCTTGTAATAATTTTTGTATTAATTTTTTTCATTTTTTTTTTTTCTCCAACGATAGAGATTGTCTGCTTCTCATAATTATTTTAAGATTATTATAAAGCATTTTCCTACAACGAATAATTCTCTGCTAATAGTTATTTTCTTGTATCCGGATTATTTGAAAATATTTTCGATTAAAAAATATATTTAAGATAAGCATCTTTGATGAATTAACTAAACACTAAACGGATACCAAGTAATCGTTTTAACAGGCTTTTACGTTGAAGTACCAGCATGGAAATCTAGTCATGAACGAATGAGTCAAGGCACTTATAAATCGCAGTTGCATTTGCATTCTTTAAATACTTCTCAGTCATCGAATGATTACCGCGATTTTCGCTTTATTTTACTCGATTGACGAGATATTTTTTTTAGTTTGAAAGTGTTTTCCTCTCTCGCTCACTGTGAAAGTATCAAAGTCAGATTTAAAGTTGTGCCCATCGAGATATAGATTTTAGTTTTACAAAGTTTTAAATTAGAGTTGAGATTGGTGCACATTTTTCTCTTTATTCGCAAACTTCTTTTTTTTCCCACTTACTAACCATTGCAACAATGGCATTTGGCGCTATCGCATAAAGATAATGTTAGAATTCCGAAACCAATACTTTGCTACCGATTGGACATGCGATAAAAAAATAGCGTATACCTAATAATTTTGTTTTTTCGATCGATTTTGCTTTAAATCGCAATTTCACTTAAGTGTATGTTACGTTAAATCTTAAATTGTTTACGGGAATTTGGTTTAAGTTATTCTTAAGTGCGAATTGTTCGCGCAGCATAATAATATTTCCGTTGTAATGTTATCGAACTTATTACACGAGTAATCGTAATTCGATTTGTACGATGATAAAAAAATTTAATATCGTTTGCGATTTAAGGAGAAAGAGACTCTTGATTAAAATAACGATCGCATATATATGTTTTAAAATAAAATCCTTTTATATTTCATTTCGCATTTTTTCCACGTGTATTTTATTAATCGATCAGTGCATCCCGTTACGTATATTCATTAAATACACACGAGGTAGAATTATGTTTCTATGGAAGACGAGCATTCTTTTCGCGGAAAGGTCATCAATATGAGCTCGAATAAATGTTCGAAAAGATCTTATCAATGATAAAAATTAAAAAACTTAAAAAAATCGTTAGAATATTATTGTTAAAATGATAAAAAATCAAATACTAAAATTCATTATTACGTTCGTTACATGATACGTGATTTTTAAATTGATAAAAAAACGCAAATTTTTTTTATCAATATAAATAATTAAATATCGCGTAAATAATAAATTTATAGTAATGTAAGTTTTTTATCAAATATAGAAAACAAAAATAACATTTTAAATAATGCGCGCGTATAATAAGATCGAATAATATATATTATCTTCTATTCGAGACATATGATATACATTAACGTGCGATTACATATACTTTGATTTTTTTCAATTCGGTTTTCGGTCGTCTCGGCACATGTGTGCACAATCACACGTGTCAAGTATATCGTATCGCACGTGATTGTTGAATTTTTCAAACGGTGTTTTGAGAAAAAAAGCCACACTAAAATAATTGCTCGTAATGTATTTCTTCCTACATATATACAGTAATATATCGACTCGGCAGTTTTTCTGTCGTGGCGAAGCAAGAGAAATGCTCCTATGCATGAAATATACGGTATAAAAATAATCGAATCATAAAGTATAAATTTCTTGAGGATAATTCTTGGAAAAGAAATTTATGTGGTTGTGTTCTTATACAAAATACGATATCTATCTCGCGAAAACATTTTTTTACGCAGTTGAGCAATCTTTCATTGTCTTCTGTCTCCTTACACGACTATCTTGCAAGATTATTACTAAATTATCACATAATCGATATATATACAAAGATTAACATGTCTTTTCCGAGGTAGATAAAAATCAGTACAGATACAAAAGAAACTAACGAAAAGTATAGTATATTGCAAAATTGCAATTTTTAAGAATTATTTGTAAGATAATTCTTTTTCCTTCACACAAACTTGTTTGCACAACAAAATATGAATAAATACGAAACTAATACATAGATTAGAATTACAATACCTCTATAATTATAGATATATAGATAATGACATTTGTAATTATTACAAATTGTAATTATTTGTATATCTATATAATTTGTGCAAATAATTACAATTATTTTTAAAAAATGATTGTTATTTTTAAAAATAATTGTAAACAGAAAATTAGAAAAATACAACAATTATTTGATTACAACAATTTTCAATGGTGAAAAGTTTTCTCAAACATTTTTCTTATTTTTCATTTCTATGTGGCACTCGTTTCATTATTCCCCTACTTAATGGTAAGTATACTGTATAGAACAATTTATATGTTGTGGCATTCGGTTAGAAAAATAACTACAAAGATTCGCGAAATCGATCAAACGTTTCAAAAATTTCAAAAAAATTGTTAGCAAGATATTATCTTGAAAGAATACCGTATTTTTATCGGATAGTATATAAGTTTTAAAATATGATTTCCCGCATCCATTTCTACATTACTAATCATTTTTATGGAATTTTCGAAACGTTTGATCTTAAAATTCTTTTTAAGAGTAAATAATTACAGAGCACAATCAGTAGTAAAAAATATCGATATTATACAGTATGTAAAAAAAGTATTTGCACACCTTGTCTTATTGAAATTCGCGTAAAAAAGAAAAATGTTGCAAAGTACTTTATTAGATATATCAAGACAGATGGAAATGATGTATTTCGATGAAAATATTTTACGATAATATCGTGCTTTTTTATATAAAATTATACCAAAAAAGACGGCGTATGCGAATATTGTTTTTACACTTTATCGAAGCTAAAATTATACCTTTTTTTTAGTAAGTATAACATCTCGTATCCGTTCGACGCAACGATGCGTCCCCCTGTTGGATATCTTAATACATTCGCATACAAACCTATAGGAATTAAACATGTCGATTTCCTTGCTAGTTAACTTGCGAGCCTCCTGTAATACTTGGGTATCTTTCAAACTCGCCTCATCATTTGAGCTGCCTGAGTCATTCGAGCTGCTAAAATACATAAATTCCACAATATTATTGCCATTCTTTTTTTTTATTTTGTGGAATTTATTCTACAATATATATGTGTAATATGTATATAACTTTCTTTTTTGATAAAAATATAGAAATTTTAAAAATGTTTTTTATTTTTTTATTAAAATTAAAAAATAGAAAATGATACAAAAATTAAATAAATAAAAAATAATTTAATAATTAAAAAAAAAATAAATAAATAAAGAGAAATAAAAATTACTATTATAATGCGTGAAAAAAAATTATATTTAAACAGAAGTGAAATATCATGTTTACTTACTTTTCGGATTCTTGTATGGGCGTCATTAGTCCCTCGCATTGAACGAGGTACACGTCGATCCAGTCGTCGACCTCGTGGAAATAATGTTTTATATATGAATATGAATTCTTAATTAAGGTATCCTCTATACGTGCGAGCAGAAGGCCGTACATTTGGCCAAGGTATGTCCTATTAGTAGAATCTTTTAAGGAGCGTAGAGTTTTCAGTAGGATACGGCGGATCGCCACTTGTTGATCGTTCGTATTGCGATTGATGTGCGCGAACACGTCGCAAAAGTTCACAAGGATGCGTATCAGTGATACAAACGTATCATTGGGAAATGTCTTGTAGAATGCCAGAGCGAGTTGCGCCGCCTCGCCAGTGATGCGCAGCATATTTTCATAGGCCTCCATTTCGTCGGTCCAACCAAAGTTACACCAGAATATCGTTGTCAACTCGACCGCGAAAATCTCGTATTCCTTTTCGGTGGCATGCAAAATCATGTGACGCAGGAAACTTTCCCGATCGAGTCGGAAGGACTGGGCGTACTCGCGCAATTTGGGCTCGCATCGCGGATCCGTGCGCAGTCGTCGATGTAAGAAGAAGCAACGTCTTTCATAATCCTGAATTATATCTAAGACACTGCCGTTGAGTATATGCCATAGAGGTGATAGTCGCGCCCGATCAATCGGCTCCACGCAGTCATCGATCGCATCAATCACTTCGCGCTGCTGATTCACAGTTAATATGTTAGGTGTGTAGAACAGGGCGTTCAATATGCGTGTTATATGACCTATCAAGTCATGAATAGTGCTCCTTAAGCAGGTCGGTTCGCTTTTTCTTATCAACGACATCTTCTTGGTCAATGCTATGATCAGCAGCGGGTAATCCACTTTGGGAATGCAAACTCTTTTTTCCACAATATCGTACATATGCATCAGTATGCAGAGAAAGTTGAAGTAATGAAAACTGCTATCAATTAAGTAAGGGATGTAAACAATGTTGATCAGATCATCCGGAGTTATCAACTGTGGAAGAGAAATGAAAATAAGAAATAATAAACAAATAGAATTCCAACAAATATTTATCCTCGTGTCTTATCTATAACATTATTATCACCTTATGATCAAGTATGGTATCCACAAAAATCGGAAAACGCTTGCAAGACCAAGTAACATCCTTTTGCAAGCAGACATCCTTCAAAATGTACATCAGCAGATTGTATTCATTGTCCTTTTGTATAATGAGAAACGATCGCAGAAGTAATATGTCTTTCGACATAAATATAATGCTCTCATACTTGTTGCAACCTATAGCAATCTCCACAAGAGTAGTTAGCACCTTTTTTGCATTCAACAGAACAAAAATCAGGAGGATAAGCAGTCCTTCAGATTCGCGTAAGCACATATTGCGTTGCATGAACGTTATGAAGAGTTTATGATTGTACAAGTATTCTAAACGATTGTCGTCAAAATGTCGCAGCACATATTTTATTATAATGTAATACACATCTTGTATATTTTGCTGCACTATCACTCTCAATACCAATACATAAGCTTGATATTTCTCTACTTCGGTGTGCGGATACGCGAACATGTGATGAAGATATTCAAGCAAAATGCAGCAATCGTCTTTTTGCAGCAATTCTATTTTCTCATTAATGAAACTCAATATAGATTTGTCCCATTCCTTGTAGCGTTTCATCAATTCTCTCATACCCTCTGGTTTGCCATTGGCGATGCTATGACAGAGTTCTTGAAGAGTTAACAAGGATTCCTTGCTATTTTTCGAACCTATGAGTTGCTGGAGGCAATGGAGTAAATGGTCGTTCTTTCCCAGAAATTCATTCTCTTTCATGAAGTTAATAAAGTAGTGGCATTCAATGACGATGGCACGCTGCAGCGAGATCATAATGTTTTCAGTGTCATTGATTTCTAGCCAGCCCATGTACTCATAACAATCAACCTGCTTGATTTGGTTCAGCAATAAGGTGATCAGTTCCTGATCCAGTGTTGCCACAATAGATTTCACCTTGTCGACGGGGAGAGTGCAGTAGTAATTTATACGATTGTGAGCGAGATTGCCATATGTGAGCTTGAATAATTTTTCTAGATAGATATTTTCTGTGTAAGCCTCTATCTTCTTGCTCATGCATAACTTAATATGACGAAAGATGCATTTCAGGAGAAATCCATGTTGCTCGTACCTCGCTTCTTCGGATAACTCGGGGGAACCAGTAAACCTTGGACTGCCGAGCAGATCTAACAATGCCTGAAAACTCGCTACTAATTGGCATGCGCGTTCTGTTATATCTTTCTCCGATAGTGTACCTAAATTCAACCGCAGGCACTTTTCGTATGTCCTATTATTCAGAACGAGAATCAAACACTTGGCACGTGATATTTCCAGCTCGTTCACATATTTAATCAATTCCTCCAGAATTTCCACAAATAGGTCTAATGGTATGTACATGAGTGATTCGACCAGTATGCACTCACACTTCAAGCGCCATATTATCTGTACAAGTTATAATAATATAAATAAAATGCAGTAAATAATAATTATAATACACATAATCATATTAAATATATTATATGATTAAATGTAATTATTTTTCTATTTTCTAATTACAAGAGTATCATAAATTGTATTGGCATATAATCATATCAAAGATTTAATATTAACATGTATAGTTATCTGGTTTCAATTGTAATATTGTAAATATATATATATA